CTCTTAATCTTAAACATTTTTTCATCTCTTCTCCAATTCTTTCTAAATCCTATTCTTAACTCTCTACTCTCTAATTCTCTTATTCTCCAATATATTATATTTATTATTTATATATCTACTTTATATTAATTATCTACTTATAATTTATAAATACATACATTATAATATTATATTACTTATATTTGTTATCTAATTATATATTACTTATACATTTATTATATCTATTAATATAGTTGGAATTATATCTAATTAATTTGAAGTCATTCTATTACTCCCATCCGAAAGACCGAAAGTCCGAAAGAGGTACGAAATTATTCTATTATTTACACTTGTTTAATTTTGTATTAACGTTACTTGAAAAAAACTAGTTAATTAGGTTGTACAATTTGCTATAACTCGAATTAATAGTTAGATTAATAGTTAATTACTTTATTACAATTTTTTATTAATTGCTACATTTGACTCTAGTTTAAAAAAATAGTTGTAATTCTAATTATAGTTAAAGTTAAAGTGTATTAATTTAATTGTTAGTAAAAAAATAGGTTGTACACAAAACTAGTTAATTCACTAGTTAATTTGATGAAAGTAAACTTTAAAATACTAATTTGCTATAACTCGAATTAATAGTTAGATTCATAGTTAATTACGTTATTACAATTTTTTATTAATTGCTTCATTTGACTCTATTTTAAAAAACTAGTTGTAATTCTAATTATAGTTAAAGTTAAAGTGTATTAATTTAATTGTTAGTAAAAAAATAGGTTGTACACAAAACTAGTTAATTCACTAGTTAATTTGATTAAAGTAAACTTTAAAATACTAATTTGCTATAACTTGAATTAATAGTTAGATTAATAGTTAATTACTTTATTACAATTTTTTATTAATTGCTACATTTGACTCTAGTTTAAAAAACTAGTTGTAATTCTAATTATAGTTAAAGTTAAAGTGTATTAATTTAATTGTTAGTAAAAAAATAGGTTGTACACAAAACTAGTTAATTCACTAGTTAATTTGATTAAAGTAAACTTTAAAAGACTAATTTGCTATAACTCGAATTAATAGTTAGATTAATAGTTAATTACTTTATTACAATTTTTTATTAATTGCTACATTTGACTCTAGTTTAAAAAACTAGTTGTAATTCTAATTATAGTTAAAGTGTGTTAATTTAATTGTTAGTAAAAAAAAATAGGTTGTATACAAAACTAGTTAATTCACTAGTTAATTCGCTATAACTCGAATTAATAGTTAGATTAATAGTTAATTACTTTTTTTCAGTTTTTTATTAATCGCTACATTTTTTTGATGGATCGTCCTAGATATTCGGTTGATATGGGTAACCTCGAGCGCAACCGAACGAAAGAGCTTGCGAGGAAGACTGTCGAGATCCCGCAAAGGTAAATCACATATCGGCTCTTCATCTCAAAGTCGAGATGATTTTGATACGGGTTACGCAAGGAGAGATGAGGATGCAATGACCGACGAACAACTAGAACAAGAATTGCACCGACATAATTCCCGTTTAATTGACCGACGACATAAATCTTTAACCGGCCCCGCCCGGCCCGGCGGGTGGCCCGACCCGTGACCCGGGCGGGTGGCACGGCCCGAACCGGACCCGACCAACCCTCAGGCCGGTCCCGGGCCCATTTGATACAAACCGGCGGCCTGACCGGGCCTAGGCCGGGCCCGGGACCGACCCGGCCCGAGTCCATGACGGCATGACTAGGTTCAAACATGAATCGGGATATTGTCATGGGCAATGTAGCACCTCGAGTTCAACAACACATTACTACTCTTTCACTCAAGGTAGGGAATAGGGATGGACTCGGTTCGGGCCGGGCCCGGTTCGGGCCTTGAACCGGCCGGGCCTCGGTTCAAGGTATGGGAGGCTCGGAACCGGCCCAGGTAACCCCCGAGTCTAGGCCGGGCCAAGCCTCGGTTATAGGGTTGGATTCGGTTCGGGCCACCAGGCCCGTGACCCGACCCGGCCCGGTACTGTGCGGGCCCGGGACCGGCCCGGTCGGGCGGTCCGGGACCGGGTATGTACCCGAACCGGTGGGAAGGGGCGGGGCGGGCTCGGTGCTGGATTATTGTGACCCGGCCCCGAGTCCGGGTCTAATTAAAAAAAAAATTGGTTTGGGCTACTAGCCGTTGGGGGTGGGGGTGGGGACAACCCAAACGGCTATATAGCCGTTGGGTGGGGTAAAGGGGGGGTCCGGGGGGGTTGGCTGGTGGGGGGTGGTGGTGGGGGGTAAAAAAACCTATAAATACTCCTAATCTTAAGCATTTTTTCATATCTCTTCTCCAATTCTTAACTCTCTACTCTCTAATTCTCCAATATATTATATTTATTATTTATATATCTACTTTATAGTTTATACTTAAGAAGTTAAGATGGAAAATCAAGATGCCATTATACGGTATAATTTTGATAAGCAGAAGGACCCGAAGACCAGGATGTGGTACGCAATTTGCAAATGGTGCGAGAAAAAATGTAGCATGGGGGTTTCTGGCGGATTCGGAATGACAATCAAGCACATGAAGTCGTGTGACAAAGCCAAAGGATCGGGAGGTGCGGGAAGTTCCGATTGATTACAATTTTCAAAATGTTTATCTGTTAAAGTTTGTTTTAATTTTCAAATGTAGTTCCTATTTCATTTCAAATAAATGCAATTGAAGTTTGTTTTTAATACTCGTATAAAACTATAAACTATAAAATATAAATTATAAAAAAAAAATTAACCGGCCCGAACCGGACCCGACCCGTGACCCGTCCTACCCTCGGGCCGGTCCCGGGCCCAGGGATGGATTCGGGCCGGGTCGGGCCCGGTCGGGCCGCCAGTTCAAGAACAGTGGGCCCGGGACCAGCCCGAGGGTTGGACAGGTCCGGTTCGGGCCGGGTCACCCGCCCGGGTCACGGGTCGGGTCCGGTTCGGGCCGGGCCGGTTAATTTTTTTTTTTATAATTTATATTTTATAGTTTATAGTTTTATACGAGTATTAAAAACAAACTTCAATTGCATTTATTTGAAATGAAATAGGAACTACATTTGAAAATTAAAACAAACTTTAAGAGATAAACATTTTGAAAATTGTAATCAATCGGAACTTCCCGCACCTCCAGATCCTTTGGCTTTGTCACATGACTTCATATGCTTGATTGCCATCCCGAATCCGCCTGAAGCCCCCATGATACATTTTTTTTCCGCACCATTTGCAAATTGCGTACCACATCCTGGTCTTCGAGTCCTTCTGCTTATCAAAATTATACCGTATAATGGCATTTTGATTTTCCATCTTAACTTCTTGGAGAAGAGAATTAGAGAGTAGATATATAATATATTGGAGAATAAGAGAATTAGAGAGTAGAGAGTTAAGAATAGGATTTAGGAAGAATTGGAGAAGAGATATGAAAAAATGTTTAAGATTAGGAGTATTTATAGGTTTTTTTAACCCCCCCCCACCCCCTCCCCCTACCAGCCAACCCCCCCGGACCCCCCCTTTACCCCACCCAACGGCTATATAGCCGTTTGGGTTGTCCCCAGCCCCACCCCCAACGGATAGTAGCCCAACCAACCAAAAATTTTTTTTTTTAAAAAAAGAGGCCCGGACCCGGGCCGGGTCACAATAATCCTGAACCGAGCCCGCCCCGCCCCTTCCCATCGGTTCGGGTCCATACCCGGTCCTGGACCGCCCGACCGAGCCGGTCCCGGGCCCGCACAGTGCCGGGCCGGGCCGGGTCACGGGCCGGGTGGCCCGAACCGAATCCAACCCTACCCGGGCCCATGTCATACTACCCGGCGGCCCGACCGGGCCTAGGCCCGGCCCGGGTCCGACCCGGCCCGAGTCCATCAATACTCGGTTATATATATATATATATTTTTTTTGGACTTTTCCTAGTTAACCCCCAAACCAACCCTAACCACCTCAAATGGCCCAAAATACCCAGCCCAACCCAAAAACTTAAAAAAAAATCAAAAAAAAAAATAAAAATAAAATTGTCCGGGCCTGGGCCCGAACCGGCCAACCAACCGGTTAACCGGTCCGGGCCGGGCCCGCACAGTAGCGGGCCGGTCCGGTTCCAGGCCGGTTGGCCCGGCCCGAGTCCACCCCTAACTCAAGGATTGAATTATTCTCTTTTTTGTCTAAATCTCGAAGAGAGTGTGAGACACTTGATGGAATAAATGAACCCAGACTCATAAGTCATAAGTCATAATAACCCACAACCTCAAAAGAACAACAAAGATCTCAAACCCAGCCTAACAAGATAATAGACATCTACAACACCTTCGTTAAGGCAAAAAGGTGAAAAACAATACCTACGGGATTCATAAGGCAAAAAAAAGTGAAAAAGCAGAGTCACCAGCTTCACTAGCCGACTAAAATGCAAAAGCCTATGCAAACAGAAGCTCTAAATTTACACACTCAAGGCAATAATTCTAGAGGCTTTGATCTTCGGCCTTCATATAGGGGTTGCTCGCATGGGTTACTCTAGCGAGAGCTAGATTGAGGCTCAGAGTCTCAGACATTATACCCACAAGGTAAGTTAGAAACTCTGGCTTCAACTAAAACGCGTTAACTCCTTTAAGCGGAACATACAACTCACCTGAAAGAGTAGGGGAATGGATGACTCCGACATGAATGTACCAATACAACAGAACACCCAGAATGATCTACGAATTCAGAATGGGCTGCTCCCTTTTGGCTTAGAAGCTTTCACCAAAGGGAGTGGTGACCCATGAATCCATGATGTAGTATATGGGCTGGGACAACACAACCACATCCTCAAATAGGCCATGAATCAAAGCCCAGTACAATTCTTAATAACCCATGGCTGCTCAATGCGTAACATTTCTCAATTTCTGCACATTATTTCTGCAATAGCACCAGGAGGCACATGGCCATCGAATACACCAGGCACATTGCACTGCTTGACGACCAACATATGTCGCCACCGAGAATCCCAAGTTAATAAATATAACATGAAGAAATGTGTAGATAACCTATTGATTGTATACCAATATCCAGCTATAAATACCTCCAAGAGGGGCTAATGTATTGTTTAGAACATTTTCTCTTGCAATAAAAGCAAATAAAATATTTTTTTCTAAACACCATGGTCCGGATTAGCTATCAGTAATAATTAAAGATAATAACACAATATGAATCTTAGATATAAACCCTTGTACTGCTTTAAATGAATGAATAAATTAATCCTCAAGTCTAACACAACCTTTACATATTTTCCTAATATTATTTTGTATATAGCTGTCTCACCCATTGGTGGACAACCCATTCAGTCCTCAACACTACACAACATACACGTTCTGAGATACTTTACATACAGATCCTCCCCTCCCATGATCCCATCTCCCCCTTGGATGGGTGAAAACACTGCCTAATTCATAAACTGGCAACAACATGGAGAGCTCCCATGCTTGGGATCTTTTAAACTCGATATTTGCACCAAATAAGACTCATCCATGAGATCACACGGGAGGAGAGACTATACACAACCTTGATCTGTCATACCATTGGCAATGGTAAGAAAGGCTGATATCGCGGCTCCATGCACCAATGCCCTGCAATTAGTGATATTAGGCGGGGAATAATTAATCTTCGTTCTTCCACAACTTGCTCATGTTTTCTACCATAGTCTATTCATTTTCAGGAAAAATGTTTTCATGGAACACATCTTCTGCATTTCTGTGTTTGACGTAGGAAAATATTTATGGAAGAAGATTTTCCTGTGTCATGAGATTCTCTAATATTCACAGAAAATGTTTTCTATTATTGTGTATCAAGCATTGCGTTATTACATAAGTCAACTTCTATTCCAAGAAATATTTTCATGTGTTGATCATGGTTGTCGATGGCGAGAAATGGCGCGTGAGCCATGCGCATATGGCGACAAAACCCTCCATCACCATGAAAAGTCCTGGCAATGATCATACACATGGCGGCGCCATATTGGGGGCATCAGCATGTCATGTGCGCCATAATATTAAACATGTTTACTTTGTTATTTTTGGGCTTCGACCCTGATAATATTCAAACAATCTGCCCTTGCATAATACTAATTAAACCCTATCAAGAAATTAATATGTCAACCCATTGCCCATTATATTGACAAAAACCCTAATAAAAATTAAATAAAGATACAACTAACTTAAAGCCAGAGAAAGCTGCTGAACGAACTAACATAAAAGCTGGAGTCCGATAGATGCACAACAGGGAACGATTAAAGGGAACTCCTTCGAGATGATGAGGAGTGCGATAATTGATGATGGTTATAGCATAATCATCAAATAAAAACAAATTGACATATTTTCAAAGAATGAAACTTTTTTAGAATATTATATTTTTTGGAACTTTAAAATATTTTAACTTCACATGTTTTGATTAGAATGTTAATATTCATCTTTATTTACCATGTTTTGGTGCTCAAATGATAGAACTATAGTGTCTATAGTTCATATTTTTAGTTATTTTATTTTTTTCATGTGGTGACGCCATAAACGCGCCATCGCCATGGAAAAATGTCTTGGCGCCATGGATGTCACCATACTCCATGACAACTATGGTGTTAATATTGGATTGAACATAACGCCCATTCTCTAAACCAACTGTTGCTGTTCAAAAATCTACATGAAAAGAAATCTAGGCAGCTAATGAAAACACAATGCCTCTGAACTCGCATAAACCGGCCAAGACTTACTCGGGACTCTCCTTCTGATAACCAAAATCACTTGCTGCTTTTAATGATCTTTCATACGTCAACTTCATTGCTTCCTGTAATAACAAAAGGTCAATAATATCTATTCAGTGTGAGGATTCAGGATGTAGCTTGTTGGTAAACATTGACCAGATGTACATAACATCCAAACCAAGATATGATATAATTATATACTTTCCGAGGTTGTCACGGCGATGGCGTCAAGGAAAGGTGTGGTTCTAGTGAACCGTCCACCTTGTTGCCTAGGCGACAAGTCACCACGTGCAGTATTTTGAATATAATATGATACTTCCTCTGTTCTTTTTTAGTTGCAACATTCCCTTTTTCATGTTTGCCAACGCACAACTTTGACCGTCATTATATTTAATCCCGTATTAGTAAAAATAAAATAAAAATCAGATTATAAAACTTAGTATTGAGACGAATTTAACAATAATTTTTAAAAAAAATAATTCACATACATTAATGAATAAAATGAAGTCAAAGTAAAGTACATGAACAGTGTATATATTCCAATGTTGCAACTAATGCGATACGGAGGATAGTATAATGTTAGAAACCTCAACAAATGCAGCAGAAATTATTGATTTACTGAATATGAAATCTGTCAATTACAACTGAAAAGGAAAGAAACGGAAAGAAAGAGAAGAAAACAGAGTGAGACACTTCGAGCAGTCCCCTCTCCCAAGTCCCAAGTCTAATTCCAATTTTTGCCTGCCCCTTTATTCTTCTCACACTCCTATTTATAATCTTTTCCTTATGGACCAGCCCAGGTTAACTAATACCCGGCCCAAGACCCTCTATTTGTACTACTCTTCTAATATTCTTATTATTATTCTCCTTAGTCCATGGTCCTAACATATCTCCCCCCTTGGACAACCACCTTGTCCTTAAGGTGGGTGATATGAAACAGCCTTGATCTTCAGGTTCACCTTCATCGTTGCACCTCTTCCTTCCCAGTACCTTGCTGTTTTCTTATCAACTTTCAGACATTTTTCGTCATCTTTTCCATTTCTTGGACCCTCGCACTTTGATCTGTTTCTTTCCATATCAACCTCTTCCCGGAGCTTGGTCAGTGCCATTGAGTTCAGAGTCAGGGTTGATACTTCTTCAGTAGGTGAAACTTTTGAGATACATTGATCACAATCCACCAGCAAATAACAGTATCCCCTCACCTGGTATGCATTCTCATCACCCCAACTTCCTGCTAGTTTTTCCACAACTTTGATTACCTTAACTGGTGCTTGTTTCATAATGTTCTGCTTCATCATGGAAACCTCTTGATCTTCTTTGGACACAAATGTAAAGGGAATACAAAGTACAGTATTCAGGCTCTTAGGCTGATAAGCACAAATATATGTTCGTTCTCCTGTTTGCTTAATCCAAACAGTTGGGGAAGCAAACACTGAGGAACCCATCTTTCCCTTTCAACCACTTGTCACTCTGTAAGAGCCTCACAACAACATCCAGGTAAGGAGAACTATTGTATGGTGAGGCTGTCTGCTGATCCAGGTAAATAGAGCTTCCCAACCAATAATCTCCCGAGTTATTAGATGTAGCATTTCCTTTACGTAAAGGAAACCAAGAACTTAGGCCAGAAAACAAAGTATTTGGAGTTCACCTTAACACAGCACAGGTGACAATCTTCATTAAGTCATCATTAGGAAGTGTTGTGGACACCAGCAGGTCCTGGTACATGATTAATGAATAGCAGTTCGTGTTCTCAAAACAAGGTTCCAACACCATGTCTAGTGACTGAACTTCAAGAGCAGAATTGCCAGGCTCCTCAAGTAGTTTCTGTTTCTGACTCCCACCTTCCTGTTCAGTCTTACCAGAGAAGTCCCAGAATTTCTTTATGACAATAAGATGCCCCGCTAATTCCCTCTTTGGTGCAACAAAATAACTTGAGTTTAATTTAGAGCCCGGATCTAATCCAAACTCAGACTGGGGAACAAAACCTTGCACGCCATTGTAGAAACGAACAACGCAACCGTGCTTTTCAATCTTTGTTATCCATCCTTGTTTGATTAGTCCCTCAGTAACATCAGTGTGTGAAATGGTGATTCCCTGAAGCACCTTTCCATAATTGGGTAGGGTTTGCATGAATGAAACAGGACCATCATGCTTGGGAACTAGGCTATGAACACCATCAGGTTCTTCCACATTCCAAACTTGGAAACCATACCGACAGCATAAAAGCAAGACTTGGCGGTTTGTACCTCCCTCAACATTACTGGTAAGTGTCCTTCCTTTCAATCCTTCCACCCCATACTGAGGTTTGTACATACAGCGTCCTTTTTTCCTTCCATCCCCTCTTGTCTTCATTTCTGAATTTCAATACTGTGCCTACCCGTTCAAAGCTAAACATTAGTGCAAATGAATTTTGAACCCATTCTGGTTGAGTCATGTACTCATGTTAACTGCTTCCTTCACAGGTGTTAGACATGCAGCAAGGCAGTCGGTGGAATTTTATAATAAAGTGTATAAAAGAAGAGCTAATAGGGATGCTGCTAATAACTAATAACTAATAACTAACGGGTTAGTTAGTTAGTTAGTTAGTTATTGTCCCTGCGTGGACATTACTATAAATAGAAGAGCTCAGCTAGCTGAAAGTAGTTTTTAGACTCTTGGCTAGAACAGGACTGGGAGATTAGGCATCTCGAATTGTCTACAGCTTGTATAATCTGATCTGGTGAATAAAGTGTGTGTACTGTGTGTTGTTCTTGAGAATTCTGTATTCGATATTGCATGATCTATCATTGGTATCAGAGCATTACGCTCCTGGAGATTACAGAAGTGAGAAGATCCAAAAACTTTGTTCGTTCGAAGTTGAATGGTTAAAACGAGAGCAAGAATGGATCGCCGTTTGGATTCGATGGAACAAAAACAGCAGGAGACGCAATCTGCGTTGGAAGATCTCGCAGCTAAGATTGATGCGATGGCGGCACAGTTTCAGAACCGAGGAAGATCGCGAACACCTCAAACTCATCATACGAGGAATTCGCGCAGTCCGATACACTCCAGAGGTAATTCGGTTAACTCTCCTGTCCATAATACTCGACGTAACAATGAGTATATGAGAACACAGATTAGAAAGGTAGATTTACCTTTATTCAATGGCGAAGGAGCATATAATTGGATCATACGCATGGAGAGATATTTTCGTTTAAATCACATTGAGGAAGAAGAAAAAGTTGAAGCATCTATGATCGCGATGGAGGATAGAGCACTTAACTGGTTCCATTTGTGGGAGAATCAAACTGAGGAAACAAGTTGGGATGCTTTGAAGAAATCTGTCATTCGCAGATTTCAACCAGAACTGATTCAGAATCCGTATGGACCAATGTTAAGTTTGAGACAAACTGGAAATGTGCAAGATTATCGAGAAGAGTTCGAAATGGTGATAGCTCCACAATTGCATATGGATGGGGAATTGCTACGAGGGGTATTCATGTCAGGTTTGAAGGAGGAGATAAAATCTGAGTTGAAGATGTATGCATCCAGGTCTTTAACTGAGATCATGGATAGAGTTGTACTTATTGAACAGAAGATTGAAACACAGTTTGGAAAAAAGAAGGAAGAGGAAAAGCTGACAATAAAGGAAAGAGGTTCTGTACCAGTCAAGGGACAGAGTTGGGGAGATAATTCCAGAGTGAAATCTGGTTACAACTGGCCATCTCAGAGTAAAATGTTAGCTGAGAATAAGTATAATAATACTGGAATGGATAAGATTGGTAAGAAGACTATTGATTCTTACCCAACTGGATTTAAAACAGGACCTCTGTTGTCTCAAGAGGAATTTCAGGAAAGAAGTAGAAAGGGGCTATGTTTTAAATGTGGTGAAAAGTGGAGTAAAGAACATACTTGTAAATTGAAAAATTTTCAAGTTAATGTTGGTTGAAGAAGCAGTTGAGGAAGAACAGTCAGAACAAATTGAAGATACCATACCAGAAAATATCTGTCAGGAAGTAATGGAATCTAAGTCTATGCAGTTATCCTTGATGAGCAAAGAAGGGATTCCTACAATGAGGGCTTTCAAAGTGCAGGGGACTCTGAGGGGAGGATCAAGAGATCAACATATGAATGTGTTGATTGACAGTGGGGCTACCCACAACTTTATTTCACAGCAGTTGGTTGAGCAAGGGAAACTACCTTTTCAGACAGTTTCTGATTACAAAGTGCAGATTGGTAATGGGGATCATATATCCAATAATAAGAAGTGTCCTCAGTTGAGATTGAACCTACAAGGAGCTGAGATAATACAGGATTTTTATATCCTAAATTTAGGGGGCACTGATTTGGTATTGGGTATGGATTGGTTGACAAGTTTGGGAGATGTAGAGATAAACTTTCAGAAACAGAAAATTAAATGGAAACAGGGGGAGCAGGAGGTGTGCATTCAAGGAGATCCCAAACTGAATTCAATGGAAGTGTCATTGAAAACATTTTCACAAATATTATGTGATAATGGAGATGGTTATTTCTTATATTGTGAAGGAAAGAACATAGAAATGGAGCAAGAAGGAGGACTAGAAACCATTTGGAAGCAGATTTTGGAAGAATTTCCAGAAATTACAAAACCTAGAGAGGGTTTACCTCCCAGAAGAAACTGTGACCACTCTATAACTATTCAGGAGGGAGCTAAGATACCTAATATCAGACCTTACAGGTACCCACAGTACCAGAAGACTGAAATAGAGAAGATTGTGAAAGAAATGCTTGATTCTGGGATCATCCAGAATAGCAATAGTCCTTACAGCAGTCCCATACTCTTAGCCAAGAAGAAGGATGGTGGATGGAGGTTCTGTGGAGATTACAGAGCCCTTAACAAAATCACAGTTCCTGACATATATCCAATCCCAATAATTGAAGAACTACTTGATGAACTTGGGGAGGCTACCATATTCTCTAAGTTGGATCTAAAATCTGGCTACCATCAGATCAGGATGAAAGAAGAAGATAGGATGAAGACAGCTTTCAGGACACATGAGGGCCATTATGAATATTTGGTAATGCCCTTTGGTCTAACTAATGCTCCCTCTACCTTCCAAGCTTT